CTTCTGATTCCAAAGCTCAAGGGAAAGCCAGACAGTACAAACACTCATCTATTCTCCGACAGTACTCATCCTTTAGGTCTCGACTGGTATATGAATCGGTGCCTATCAAGTTGTAGCAAGATCACAGTTGGTCCCGCTAATCTGCCGAGTGCTGCCGAGTGCCTTGTTACATAATTATGGGTCATTGAAGTTCCGCGCATCGGCGGCACGGCATCAATGAGCGCTTGTTTCTTGCTGACTTTTTTGACTTCTGTACATATGTAGTCATGTTGAGCTGTGATTTCTAGTGATTGACACATCAATCATCCATAGAAAGTCAAAAAAAACTACGCTCTGAGTACTTATTCCCCTACCCTCCACCTGGCACCTGGCGGACGCATGAGAGTTTAGGATTGTCTCTTGTCACCTGACTCTTGGATGTAAAAGGTAATTCCGATCGGACCCTGCGGGCTAATAAGTGCTTACAACTTTTACCCTTCGGCTGACAATTGCTGACCCAGTGTATCAGATATAATGTTCTCTAGAAAACATGTTCCGGCTCAATTTCCGACTCGAGTTTCGTATAAGTCAGCCTCAAAAACTGCGTTTGAGGCTGTATTTTTTACTTGCCCTCCGCACAAGGCTACTTTACCAGCACCATGTCAGATACGGTGCTACCACACAATTCCGCGGCTTGGTCAACGACAACGTTTGCTGACCCCTCGAGCTCAAGCTCCTCAGAACATAAAAACCATGGACCCATCGAACCATCGATCAGTCCTGGACTGGAAAGAGAAATCACTCGCACTAAGCTCAGAACGGAGAAATATGGTGGTGACGACATCGAAGATCCCCCAGAACTAATGGCGAAGGAGACTGCTGATCCTCTTGGCTCTGAAACGTCGATTGATAGCAGACAAGTTACATGGGATGGACCTGACGATCCAACTAATCCGCAAAACTGGTCGACGAAATACAAGTGGTTCGTCACAGTTACTACTGCATTATTAACGGTCAACGTGTAAGTTTCAAGATTTTCGGCATGTTTTATGTGTATACTGACAAATTTTGTTGCTTTCTTAATAAGGACGTTTGCATCCTCCGCGCCAACGTCGACCATCACTGCACTTGTGACACAGTTTGACATCACCTCTGAAACTGCATATTTAGTTACGACCACGTTCTTGTTGGGCTACATGGTTGGAGTATGTGCCATCCTGACAATTTTTTTTAGCCTTGCTGACTTCGTTATAGCCTCTCTTTTGGGGACCTGGTAGTGAACTGGTTGGTAGACGACCCATTCTCGTCGTTACAATGGCTATATATACCATCTTCACTCTCGGCCAAGCCCTCGCACAAAATATTGAGACTTTTTTGGTGACCCGTTTCATCTGTGGTTTCTTCGCTGTGGCGCCTTTGACGATTGGTGGCGGTACGTTTTTTTTCTGAAGCTCGCAACCTTGTACCCCTTTTCATCCTGAAAGTAGGGCTCATCGCTGATATCTGGTCGGCTGATGGTCGTGGACCCGCCACAAGCATGTTTACTGCTAGTGTCTTCATCGGCCCTGTGATTGGTCCCATAGTTAGCGGATAGTGAGTTTTTTTACAACGACGTTCAAGTAAACCTTTGTATTGACTCCTTTTTAAAGTATGATCGAGAACCACGTTAACTGGAGATGGGTATTCTGGGTGATGATGATTTTCGCAGGTGTCTGCACTGTTGGCGTCATCGTTCTAGTTCCAGAATCATATGCTCCAATCATTCTGTTGAAGAAGGTGCGTTCGTCCTAGCTAAATCCCTAGAGTTTCGTTAGTTACTGATTATTTGACATAATTAAGGCGAAAAAACTACGAAAATCAGAACCGGTGGCCAACAAGGACATTTATGCTGAGCACGAGAAACAAGACTGGTCCATCAGGGGTGTCTTGCACCGTACTCTTTTCCGTCCCTTCTACATGCTTTCCTTGGAACCTGTCTTGATCCTCATCACTATTTACCTTTCTCTTGTTTACGGTTTGCTCTATGCTCGTAGGTCATTTAATGCCTTCGGTTTACCTGACGCTGACATTATTGCCCTTCTTTAGTATTCCAAGCCTTCCCTGTCATATTCATCCAGAGGCGAGGTTTTACGATCGGAGAAGACGGGTTGATTTTCATCGGTGTTGGAATTGGAACCACTCTCGGTTCTTACCTCAACTACGTCTTGAGCAGTCATTATCCCCAACTCATTAAGAAGTGGAGGGGTTTCCCTCCTCCTGAGCAAAGGCTCTTGGGAGGAATGATTGGTGGGCCTGGCCTCGTCGTCGGTGCCTTCTGGTTAGGCTGGACAGGAGAGTACTCGAGTGTGCCGTGGTATGTTCCGGCACTCAGCACAATTCTAATTGGTATGAGTATCAGCATGATTTTCATGTCTTTCCTGGTGCGTTGAGTACGATTACTTCTTAACGTTCTCGCTCATTGCTCTAATAGAGTTATCTCGTCGATACGTACTTGATGTACAGCGCTTCTGCTTTTGCGGCAAATACGGTTATCCGTTCGGCGGTAGCTGCTGCATTCCCTTTGTTTACTACCCAAATGTTCCAAAATGTAAGTGTCCATACGAAACGTCATTTATCACTTACTTACCGAGGTGTCAGCTGGGCGTTAACTGGGCTTCGACACTTCTGGGTCTATTGGGCCTGATACTAGCGCCCAGTCCGTTCCTCTTCTACCGTTATGGTCCCCAAATTCGCATGAAGAGTCGATTTGCCCCTTGCACTGTATGTCCACTCATCGCACGCAAAGGTTCTTTCCTTACCTCTGTTGCACAGGATCTCAAGATCGCGAAAGAAATTGCCGAGCAAGAGGCAGAAAAAGGACAAGCCTCCGTCTGAATTACGTCTGACGACTCTCCTTCATTTCGTTTGCATATCTTTATCACGAATCGTGGATCTATCATTTACTTCCTTCTCGCATATTCATCATAGACCGCATAGCTTTTATTATTGGATCCTGCCACGCATTCTATCCCAGCATTTATTTTGATCAAAGCATCATATCCTACCACCAAATTTTCGTACTGTACTTGGTAACTACCTAGACGTGACACTCCTAATGGGATTGAACTGTAGTTATAAGAAAGTTACACCGTCCTTTACAAATACACCAGATACAAGGCTTCGATTGTATGCTACTTACGACTGCGACTTCGATGTTCTTAGCAGGATGAATGAAGAAACTCATGGGCACTTTGCTTGTAACATGATCACATATTGTACCGAGCTTCACAGGTGGCTTTGTGGTGGATGATTGAATGAGCTCTGTTTGCAAAGCTGGCAAGCCATGGGGGTTAAGAGGCGTGGGTAGGGAAGGTATCAATGTACTCTACGCCGGTGATATGTGATGATATGATGTGTCATCAATGTTTCCTCGCAGACTTCAAATGTGTCGCGTGCGTCGTGGCGTGGGCACGTCGCGTTTGTCCTCAAGAGTAGATCATGTGGAGGTGCCAAATTAGGCGACGCGTTGTTTGGCAAGCTCATCGAGAAGTCAATTCTTTGTTTTCATCGTTGAACCATGTACTACGACCTCAATGTCCCTGTCCCTAGTCTGCATCAGTCTGCTGGATTGAGTATTTCGAAAAAGGGGAAGGGAAAGCAGCAAACACCGGGTTCCGCGCCAGCGTTCAACGCGACTCAAATAAATGCAGTTGAGACGCGGATTGACCTCCTGGTGCGGTGTAAGTCTTTTGCTCCATAGTTTGGATTCCACTTAGTGGCCTTTGAAGTAGGATACACGGTCTTCGCATTTAACCAGTTCGTCGCCAAACGAGTAGATCAAAAGAGTCACGTTAACACAGCAGAGGCTCTCGTCGATCAGCTTAGGAAAAGACCAGGACTCGTCTATCTGAGGCGTTTAAGCATCATACTTGATGGTGATAGTGAGAAAGGTTTTGGACTGGTGAGAAATTCATGTTGGAACGTATTCTCATTCTGATACTTGTCTTAGACGAATGCCAATGCCTCGATGTTCGCTTCATATGACCTGATAGGCCTTGTACCCTTGACACAAGCCACTTTCTCGCTCGCCTGCCTCACGCATTCGATGCCATCGCCTTTGACTGCACACATCATATCCCTACCTCTGACGTTACCCCGGTTATCCTACCATCTCAAGCACACATTGATTCGAACCGCCATAAAAAATGGAGCAGTTTTCGAAATTAGTTATGTTGGAGCGTTAGGAGGCGAACACCATCCCATCCTAGTTGACGCAGACGGAGCAGAGAATGGCTCCGGAGCGAAAAAAAACTGGTGGGCGGCTGCCAAAGAACTGGTTCGTGTTACAAAGGGGAAAAACCTTCTAATCAGTGGCGGCGTCATGGCTGATGCAGACCTGCGAGCGCCTAAAGACGTAGGAAACCTGTGCGTTCTCTCTCCAACTTTAACGTCACCTATTCTGGACAATTCTCATAGTATAACAATCCTTGGATTGGCTCAAGATGTATCGCATAGCTCACTCACCAAAGTCCCGAAGTCCTTGGTGCTTCGAGCTCGTGAGTTTCGTTATCCGTTAGAATGACTTGGTCGACATTTTATCCACAGAGACACGCTTTACATATCGCGCAGTGTTCTCGGAACCAAAAACCGTGATTCCTCAAGGACAGGATTCCTCAGTACCCACCGAAGTAAATCCTGTGTCAACGGACAATGAACCCCAAGTTAACTTACCTGCGAAAATTGCCTCTGTCTCTGGAGCCAGCACGCCTCAGCCTTCGCCAAAGAAGCGTCCACGTGAAGAACGACCTGAAGCAGATACTGTAGTGGCCATGGATCGGTCAGGCGATACACAAAAGAAACGTAGAAAAAAGAACAAGGGAGAAGCGTAAGGGATCTGTAATAGTTGCCAACTTGTGTCAAAGGCGATGTGCTATATTTTGAACTGATTAGCGCTCAGAGTGATAGGAAACACACATTTTGCTAGAAAAAACGTGTACAGGGCGCTTTTCGCGTCGTGTAGGATAGATGGTTAATTCTGACAGGGTCTGAGTGGCTTCTGAAATTGAGGAGTTGGTTAGAGCGTTGTGCTAATAACGCGAAGGTCTTGGGTTTGATCCTCACGTTGGCCATTAATGTTTTTCTTTCTTTCTCCCTACTTTGACTTGCAATGGAATCACAATGAATCAAAGCACTTATTGAGAACATGAAGAATAATTTATGTAATAATCAGAGTATCTTGAATAGTATAAATTTTCTGTATCCTCTTCTCCACACATATCTTTCTGCATGATAGAAACTATACTATTAATGCAGCATCTGGCAGAATAAATTGTTGTATATACTGCAAAGTAGGCTTGAAGTTAAAAAGTTAAAATATGACATATTCAATCTTCATATTTGTAAAACCAAGTTAAGTAACTTAATGAATTGAAAGATGATCAAACTTTGACAACTTGTGTCGAAGCCCCTGGCTGTTCTGTTGCACTATATCTTTAATTCAAGATTTCTGGATCCCAAGACAGGTTGGCCCCTCATGTTAGGTTCTGCTGATGACAGGGGCTTCTTCCAAAGCAGGGCCTTATGATGTGGATGAGATGTAGCTAAATACACATGGCCTGTGCGAGGGGATGAAGTCTGGGCTAGATTAAAGGTGGTCTGGGATATAAAAAAGTGGTCTGGAGCTTGGGTAGCATAGTCCAGGATGAAGTAGATGAGTCCTGGGATGTGGCGGGGTCCTTTTAGAGTAGTGGTAGGAATAGCAGGGGTCAAAGAGCAATTAGTGTAGCCATTGGCTACAGATAGAACAATCTTTTGTAGATCACACAGTAGCTGAATCAGACCAAATTATTGGATTAGACTAAATACATTGTGAATACAAGATGTTGTCCTTATGTAATCTACAGACATGCATCAAAGGCATCTGTCAGTGTCTAAATGCGGCTCAATGTGTGCTGCACACACACATACTATATTACAGGTAACCTTGCTGGTTACACACCCCCTCTTAAAACCATTGAATGCAATTGTAAGCACCTCCTCTGACATACCCTCCTTTGCAGGAACTCCCCCCTCCCTCCAACATCCCTGGTCACTCCTGCAAAATGACCTTGTCTCCCTGCCTGGGAACAACACCTCCCCTGCTGCTATGTGGTAGCCTCCACTCTGTCTGTCAACTTGCTTTGGCTTCATGTAGAGGTGGAGACCACTAACACCTAGCAGGTCTGGAGTGTTGTGGCCCTGTTGGACTCTGGAGTGACTGGACTTTTTGTAGATGCTGACTACATGGAGCGCCATCGGCTCACCACCTAACCACTCCTTTCTCCAATCCAGTGTACAACATTGATGGCACCCCCAACAAAGCTAGATCAATTTGCGTGGTAGTGGACCTTGTCCTCTGCTACCAGTCGCATGCAGAGCAAGCCATCTTTGCAGTCACCAGCCTAGGGAAGCAGGACATGATTCTTGGCTTCACCTGTGTCATGACCTATCTCTGGAGCACACCACACAACCTTGGGACACCACGTCCAACCCTCATGTTTCCCCCCAGTTTCCCCACCAGCTGTCCCACCTTTCCCAGTGCACGATCCCCCGCTCCGCCGACTCTGACCCCTGGCAATCACCACATCAACCCTGTCTGATCCTACCTTGCTGCAATCACCCGCATCAACCCTACCTGATTCTGCGGTGCCACAACTACCCGCATCATCTGGCAATCACTCTGGCAATCACACCCGGCACCTGGACCTGACAACCGCTGTCAGACCCTTTGATATGATGATCCCAACATGCTACCAACTTCTATTGAGGCAATACAATTCCAGACACGCTATACAGTTCCAGGACTCTTCGCCAATATATCCTGGAGCCCTATACAGTATGTCTATACAGTACTCCGGGACTGATCAGGCTCAGCTCAGGACAAGTCCTGCCTTGTAGAGTATTTAAGTTGTAACTAGCCCACTTGTACCTTAGTATTGATATTACTAACCATTGCCAACCGTTACCTGAAACTATCTGTGAATAACCAAACAACTGCCCATTGTAACCTTGTATTGTCTGCATTGTATCCAGTGAACCCAGTGACCTTGAACCTATGGAATTTTTGACTTAAAACCTCAAATCATTTAAGTCCACCTTTGAATCTGTTTTTGTTGAACTCTACTGCTTTATTTGAACTTTGTCTCTTTTGTCTTGTCTTGTGAATCTTTGACCCTCTTGCCTTGACTTATTGACTCTCGACCTGAACCTGTCTTGACTCCATTTATCTGTCTTGACATCGACTTCATCATCATTCCCATTCAGCCTGGCACTTGCCTTCACCCCCAGTTTCGTCTCGTTTCCCTGGTTCTTGTCCTGGACCACCTAGGATCCCTTTTTCCCTCATCCTCTCTAGTTCCTGTCAGGTCCCGCTGACCTCGGGGGCTTCTTCCAAAGCAAGGCCTTACGGTAGCAGACTGGATATAGCTAGATACAC